ATGAGTCGATGACAAGGATCAAGAACTAACCGTAACGAAGAACAAATTGATCGGCGGGCTAAACTTAGGAATCGAAGTGAAGAGGTTGAAACCGGTAAGCTTGAAATTGATGAAGATCAGGAGAATCCAAGGAATAATTATGAATTATTGGTGAGAGTGTTGTTGTTGATCTGAAATTCAAAGAAGTGATAATAAAAGGCTGATCAACTATGGGGAAGCTCTTGACTAAGGTGAGTACTCTCTCGATGGCCTCTTCGTTCGTTAGATGATGATCATGTGATGAAAAAAACTGCAATGGTCCGATGGCAGTTAGGGTTCCGACAAGTGGCGGACGACGGCCACTCTCAGAATTTCCATATAAACCGATCATAATCCATCTACAGAGAAAAATTAAGAAAAAGGAAGGCCAAAGAACATTTATTTTGACAACAAGAATCAACAGCTTATGGCAATGAAGAACAAATCGATCGCCGGACAGGGTTGAATCGAAACAGGGAAGCTTGAGATTGTTGAGGATCACCGGAATTGGGGAAAATTTTGAAGAAGAAATGTGAATTATTGCTTGGTTACAGTGTTTTCGTTAACCAAAAATTCAAGGAGGGACAAAGGAAGAAAAGTGCGGAAATAAAACAGAGGGAATTTCCATCAAAAAAAAATATTGAGGGAAAAAAATGCAGAAAGAGATATGGATTGGTTAATTAGGCCATGTATTTACAGATATGGGCTACTGCTACAGATCCATGGGCTTACGATCGAGTTCAAAGAATGGGTCAAACCGTAGTCCTCTTGGCCCATTTACACTTCACATAATTTTCACTCGATTAGCCCCATCAGTCACGAGTTGATTTTCAATTGATCATATTAATCTGACCAAATCGGCCCCAAATTTTGATTGTTTGCAATGGTAGGTAAATTTTTTTTTTTTTTTTATGTCACACGATAGCCCACTCATTGTTTTCAAAATCAAACTGATGGTCAAACCATTTTGATTTTCAATTTACAGTTTTGACAATTAAACCAATTTTATCAATTAAAAATTTAAGTTAATCGAATTTTGAAGACCTATATTAAATGTAATGTAATGTAATTCATGTCAAAGAATTAATAGTGACACAAGTGATTATGAACTCTTATCTATCTTGAGTTTGAGTTTCAAATTCAATTTATGTAATTCTATTATAATAAATATATCTTAATGCATTAAACATTGATACACTTGGTTCAGATCAAGCAACAAAAATAATTTTAAGCATACAAGATAGCCTGTGTTCAAATCCCACAGAAGTCACTTGAGTTTTTATTTTAAAATCTTTGTAATATTATTTAAAGTATATTCTTTGCAACTCACTTCACAAAGGGCTTGGATGTTTTGGTGGCAAATGACTTGTTAACTTCTTGTGAAGTGTGGTGATTGAAACCCAGAGGTGACAAGCGAGAGTGACTTTAAGTAGTTGAATTCCATAAATGGTTTAGATACTCATCCAATCTGTTTCTACTACTAGGTCTCAGTTAATTAGTTAATCCAATTCAAATTTCAAAACAAAACTTGATTTGAATTTTCAAAGTAATGAACCTACTTAGAACTTCATTGACATGTTATGTGAGTAGAACCTGAAAATTCAAGTTTTGATCTGATCAGTTTATTCAGTCAATCCGATCCAATTTTCAAAACAATGAACCCACTTAAAATTTTCTTGGCATATCATGCAAGTAAAACTTGAAAATTCATACTTCACTCGAATTTTCAAAGCAATGAACCCATCTAGAACTTCATTGGCATGCCATGTGAGTAGATTTTGAAAATTCAAGCTTCACTCGAAAGATATATATATATATA